TTCTCTCTCCTTTCTTGGAAGTGGCTATGATACTTAAGTGCTTTGTAGCCAGCCTGCAGTCTGGACAACGGGAGACACATGCTACAGAGGGCAGAGTTAGGTCTTCAATGGCATCGTGGCATCACTATACAAACCTAGCTAGGGTTCTCCAGAGAAACAGAACCAGTAGGAGGCTTTTTATATCTATGTGGAATTGTTTCATGTGGTGACAGAGGCTGAGACTCAGTAGTATAAATTCCAGTCAGAATCCAAAGGCTTGAGACCAGGACAGCTGCTGTGTAAGTCCCAGCTTGAGGGCAGGAGAGGACCAGCACCGTGGTCAGGCAGAGAACGCTCCCTCACCCCACCTTCTGTTTGGGTGAGGCCCACCCACATGGGGGAGGGCCGTCTGCTTTAGTCAGTTCACTGATTCAAATGTTAATCTCATCCAGAGACACCCTCACAGACACCGGAATAGTGTTTAGCCAGACATCTGGGCACCCTGTGTCCTAGTCAAAGGTGACCTATAAAATTAGCCATCACCGCTACTCCCCTGGGCCTCATGTTCTGGGAGAAGAGTATGGAGGAAGCCCCTGCAGTTGTGTTTCCATCTGTCCTGCTGACTTCATTCCCTGAGCAGTATGCACATTGCTCAGAGTTCCTGGCTTTTGGCGTCCTTGGGGCTTGTAGCAAGTGTGTCCTGGTGGTCTGAGGTCACAGCTACCTCAACTGGAGCAGGACCTGACTTTGCCACAACCTAATAAGATAGACGTAAATACAACAGCTTTCATTTGAATGAGCTCTCTGGATGTTGGCACCAGGGCATTTCACCTGCAGGAAAGCCACTAATGAAACGGATGTCAAAGGCAGTTCAAAGGCCACCAGGGTTTTAGAGCAGACAGAGGCCGAGAGGAGTGCTTCTGGCCCGTAGTGGAGATTCTTGTCACTCTGTTGGACAGAAGCATCCAGCTCTTGTCTCTTGTGTTATTCCCAAATCTCCACTGGAGTGACAAATGACTTTGAGAGAGATGTGAAAAATATTTGAGAAAATGCCCGATTGTGATTTCATCACTTTGGGCAAAGTATCTTGATATGCTTTGACCTATTATTAACCACACAGTTTCTTCTAAAACAATGACCTGCATGACACTCACATGGGCTGAAGAGGTACATGTTTTTTGTCCTTTATAAAGAAAAAATTTTTTTGGCAGCATCTCTGCTACACCTGCCACACCCTGCTTTGTGATGAGACTCTGCCAACCATACTTCTCCTTTGCTGACTGGCTTTTTGTTAGGTTCTACTGATCGTGGGGCAGGTGGGACCTGGAGAGGGGAAGAAGGGATCTGTTCCTCCGTGTCTGCTTCCTGTCCCTGACGGGGATGGCCCGGCCCTGGGTCTGCGGCCCCGCAGAGACAGTTCATTCTGGAGGAGGAGATGGTTCTGGCTCACAGGTTTCCATACTTTGGTAGAACCAGCGTCCTCTTGCCGCTCAAAGGTCCCGGCTCCCTTAGCTGGCACCCCTCTTCAGACGGTTGAATCCCGGCTCTGCCGGGTCCTGCCAAGTTCCTGATTAGCCGGTACCCACTCCAGCGCTTCCTTCCGGCTTCCAGCTTCTCCTAGTCCCGTGCCTTGGTTTCCCTGCCCTGAGAGTGGCAACTGCTTCCTGTGGTGATGGTCTCTGTGATATCTCAGCATCCCCTTTCTGCTGTCTCCTCTTCACTGTCTGTTTTAACAACCCTTTATATTAAGTCATTTCTGTTAAAATAATGGGAGCAGTCTTGGCCTCCTGATCCCACAGGCAGCCAGAGCCTCCCTCTCCTGGCAGCCCCAAGCTCCGAGTGGCTTCCCACTAGTGCGTGTGGACTTTCCTCCTCCATCATGTAGTCCACCATGTGCGCGGGTAACTGAGATGATGGGAAAACCAGTGTTTTACCCACCGCCTGGTCGGGAAGCCGTGTCCTTGCTCCCTCACTCCTTCATTCCCGCTCTGCTCTTCCTCAGTCTCTCCCAAGACCTTGTGTCCATTCCTTCCTCTGCTTTCTTCCACCTCACCGGCACCTTCTTGGCTTTGCTTTTCTCTGCAGTTCATCTCCATCCTGTTTCCATCATTTCACCTCTCACCAGGGCCATGGGCTCTCTTCCCCTTCTGTCTTTCTGCCATATCACACAACAAAACCCAAGTCCAGGTCCTTCCATTGGTCTCCTTGTCCTCAGTGCCGCTGGAGGGGACTTCGTACCACCAAGTGTCCAGGGCCGGCTGGGTGGAGGTCACTCTCCAGCCGCCATTTCTCCCGGGCTGTCCTCACCTGTGACTCTGCTCCGTCCTCGCCCTACCCTGATACCTTACCCCTCTCCACTTAGAGGGTGGCCTCACCTGCCTTTTCTCACACCAGGTTGAACATGGAGGCAAGCTTACGGTTATTTCTACCTCCACACTCACCAACTTTTCTTACCTTACTTGGTGGAAGAGTTGTTCCTTCCCCTGTCAGAGGCTAAATCTTCCACTGACCGACCTTGCTTGCTTTCTTACCATCTTCTGATGTGTTATATACTTTACTTTTTATTTTCTCCCTCCCTCCACCCCCAATGGAATATAAATCTCCTAAGGGCAAGGATTTCACATGCACTGCAGACGTGAGGTGAGAAAGAAAGTCATCGTGGGTGAATCCAAGGGTTTTGGCCTCAACCCTGGGAGACTGGGATTGCCTGCAACTGAGCTGACGAAGCCGGTTTGGAGGGAAGGTCAGAAGTTCAGTTCTGGACGTGTTAGTGTGTTAGACGCCACGTGGAGATGTTGAGTGGGCCAGAGGGTGTACAAGTTGCAGAGAGGAGGTCCAGGGTCTAGGGATAAACATAGGTGTCATCAGCATATAGATGACATTTAAAACTTTAGGCCAAGGTGAGAGCTACAGGAAGTGACTGCGGACAATGAAGAGGCTTCTGGAACTGAACTCTGGGACACCCCAGTGCTGGGACCTTAAGGAGATGAAGAAAATCATCGAGGGCGATTGGAAGGAGGAGTCCTGGCTGGGATGAGGAGGGAAACCTGGAGAACGCGCTGTCCTGGAATCCAGGTGCGGAGAGTGTTTCAGTGAAGGCAGCAGGAGGGGTCAGCTGTGTCCAGAGCTGCTGGTAAGTCACATAACACGGGAACAGAGACTTGACCCTTGGGCTTGGCGTTGTGGGGAGTCAGCCTTGACCCTGACAAGAGGCCTTTTGGTAGAGTGGGAGGACTGGAAGCACAATTGGAGTTTTATGGAAAGTGGATGAGTGAGTGAAAAAAGGGACCTACTCATTTGTGGGGGTAAACATTTATGGAGAGAAAAATGGGTTTCTGATATTTCAAGAATCTCGGTGCAGTTACACATGTAGGGCCTCTCAGTAAACCTGCTCTCTGCTGATGCTCGGGAATTGCAGTCCTGGCCCTTCCGCTCCTACCTGGATAGGTCCGAGCGTGCTGGGGGAGTGACTTTGTGCAGAGTTAGAGGCCATACCTCTGCGCGTTCTCCGGCCTTTTCTCTTGCACGGGAGAGGAGTGAGAGGTCCGGTTTACACGCCTGCCGATCTCTTGTCCATGGGGCTCATTTCACGCTCTCCCTTCTGTTTAATGCTGGCGACCTCATTTCTGCTGACGTCGTGGTCGTGTGCCTGGCTGTCTAGTCCACGAGGGTGTAAGCTTCGCGAGACCTGGACCCGTCCCAGGGCGAGCAGTGAATGGAAGACCCCACCGCAGCCCTCTGCCTGCCCGTGGCCCACGTCCCTGGTTCTCTAGTGCTCCTCCTTCTAGGATTTTATGTCTCAGCCTTTTTGAACTGATATTCTGGGGGGAAGGGAGGGAAGGCCTGGCAGGTTTTAGTGCTTTCTACTGGAGTCGTGTATTTAGTGTTCTCTAATGACGGCTTTTTGGAATGGCCTTGTTGGCACGACGTTAAGGGGAGCGCGTGTTTGTGCGTGTGCCCGCGTGTGTGGGGAAAGGTAGGAGAGTGGGAGAGAGCCGGGAAGCCCCAGCCTCCTGTGGGCTGGTTGCTTCCATGTGCGAGCACTTAACGAGATCGCAGGTTTATTTCCTGAGTGGCGACATATTTACGTGTAAAAGACTTACAGAAGCCCTATTTGTTTGAAATCAGTGTTGATCCTCTCAATACAGAGGCCCTGGCTGCTTTGCCAAGGACAGGCTTAGGAAGTACAAGACGCGGTCCTGATGGGCTGGCTTCCAGATGTGCTTGCTGCGCGTTCTTGGCGGCTTGTTTCCCTCTGGGGCAGGGGTTAGCCCGCGCTGGAGGCAGCTGCTTCATTCAGCGGGGGCCTTCCATCCAGGGATGCTGTTGTCGGCCAGATTTCTACCTTCGTGCTAGTGAAGAGATGCATGGTAGGTTAGGAACCAGGGATGCAGTTATAGCAAAAAGCTCCACAAAGTCAGCCAGTCACCGATCTGCCCATCAGTGTGGGACTTTTGTACCTGCAGGCCCAGCGGGCTGTTGCCTTGGTGATGGGATTTAGAGGGTGGGTGACTGTTTGAGCTGGTAAGACGAACAGCAGTGGTCTGTCTGTCTCCCCAGTCGGCCCTTTGTGTCCTACCCAGAAGCAGGGACCACACGAGACAAAGGATGACCCGAGAGTCCAGATGCCCTCAGCGTTTCTTCCACGTTGGACTGTTCTGTGGGAACAGTACCCAGCCTAGCACGTACCGCACACGAGGCCCTGTTTGTCATGAACAGTGATACAGATCCTAAAATGGCACCCTAGCAAAGGCTGAGCCCTCCCCTCAGGACCTTTTTGTAAGAGAAGAAATACCAGAGACTCTTACCTTTGTATAATTAACAGAAGGAAACTAGAGAAAGAACTAGCCTCTGCTGGACAACCCGAGCTAGTCTACGTCACGGAGCAAGCCAGTAAGATCATCTACACAGACTGACCTTAAACGTGAGCCCGATGGCACAGGAGACCAAAGTACAGATTCCCGGAGCCTAGGCAGGCATTTATCAGTTAGAAACAGAATGTCCAAGAGGCAACGGAGATCTTTTTTCATTTTGAAAATGCTTTAATAAGTGTTGACAACACTGTTTTGCAAAATGTAAAGGTACTATACAAATTCTTAATACAAAAAGAATAAATTAAAAGCAGATTTCTTTTTAATTCTGCAACTTTGTCTACAACATACATCTTTGTCATTGATTACAGTTGAACAGAATCCAGTAAAATCATTTTCCATGCTCTACAGTCAGTTTCAGGAGCAGCCTAATCCTTGTCTCCCCGTTATTAAACTAGAGTCCATTTTCCACAACTTGTAATAAACTATTGACATTAATGTATATGTAAAACTTTACACCTAGTTAATTAAGCAGTAACTGGTCGTCTGATAGCACCTGGGTGGGGTCTGCTCTATGGAGAACTAAACTAATACTGAATGAAAACAGACTGGAATTTTAAGGGTCAACACTCAGCTGCGTGTAATAGAATTAAAAGCCTGCCTGTCTCCCAACTGAGTCTGATGAAAAGGTGCTCTCACCAGGCCCCTGGCTGGACGATTTCTCACACGCATCCAGAGAATCCAGCAGGGGCGCTGCGTCAGACCAGGGGTTTCATGCTTCACCTTAATTCGCTTTGAAGAAATAGGGATCTTAAAGAGCTTGCAAGTGCTCGTATACAGTAACTTTCATTTTTCCACCACGCTGATCGTTTATCGTGTTGGCCTCAAAGGACCAACACTTTCTGTACATCTTGTAGTAACTGAATGCAGCTCAACAGTAAAACCTGTTTTACTTAATCTCTGTCTTCACTACCAGACTATCACGATGTTTGAACTGTAATTCCGCCCCCTCCCCCAGCTCCATTCCTTCCTGCCTCCCGAATCCAAAACCCAAGTGTTGAGAAAGAATTTGCGTCTCTCATTCCTATTCATAACCCAGCTGGGCTGGAAACTTGATCGACTGACTTCAGACTTGATTTCAGACTACGGTCCGTGTTGTATTATACAACCTGCAGCCACTGTTTCCCTTTCGACTTTTCCTGTGGCACAGAGTTCAGTTTGATTATTCATGCATCGTCTTTTGGGAGAAAGAATATGGCCTAATATATAAATGTTTCCAAATGGGAAAGGAGAAAAACCTGCTGTTTGTAGCTCTGACCATCAAAATAAGAGCAGTAGCCACCCCCCATCCCCCAAATCATGTAATAACATTATAATCAGTGTGATCTATCCTGCAGGGTTTACCCCTAAAGTCTTCAGTGAACATTAGTCCCTTCTGCAAGCTGGTATCACCAACCCAGCTGCACAGAGCCGGGGAACCCAGGCCCTGGACAGTCCAGACTGGCCCCCCGCCTGCTGGGGGCCCCCAGAGACCCCCCCACGGTGCTTTTCGAGCTGCAGCAGGGGGAGCCCCATGGTTTTTGATTTTATTTTCCTGTTCATTCTTACCCCCCTGGTCTGGTAGAGTCTACTGTTATTCTTGGATCACATATACATGAAAAAACCAAAAAATTTTTCTTTTTACGCTAAAGCTAACTTCAGTTCTGCTTGTCCACGAAGTTGCCCCCACCCCGGCTCCTGTCCCTTGCTGGCCAATGCCTTTCCAATAGGAAGTCATTACAAGTGAAAAAACAAAACAAAACAAAACCCCACCCACCCCAGTTGCGCCGGTAAGCACAGCGTACCACCTCTGTGGAGATTGTGTTGTGCCATTGAAATAACCCAACTAAGAGTGTGCATTTGTTACCACTATAAAAGTATTTTTGAGGCCTTTGAGGATTGATGGCTTTCCAGTTGTGTATCAAGCATAGCTCAAAACACATGTAAACGTGCAGCCCCCACACACCTTCCTCTCTCGCCCTTCCGCTTTGGGTGCCTGCAGACCAGGCGGTCCTTCCAGGTGGCTGCTGCTAGTGGAGGCACGTGGGCCCTCTGGGAGCTGATCATTTTTTCCAACCCTGCTCTGCCTGCCGGCTAGTCGACACGCGGGCACAGTTGGGTTCTTGGAATAAGTGCCACACTGGTGACTGGGTGCCGAGAGGAGTCGGACCTGAGCTCTTTGTCCCACCAGTGCTCACGAACAGAAAATGGGCCACAACAGTTAAACACTCGAATGGATCGCAATGTGCTTTTTCCCTTGGTTTCCCGTAAAAAAGAAAATGAAACACCTTGTGCGAAAAAATAGGATACACTTTTACTGGTTGTTTTAATGAGAGAGAACCGCTTTTGGCAAGCATCACCTTAAGTTTCCTACAAATCCCCAAAGGAGAGCAGCTCTGTGTCTGAGCCGAAGCCCCGCACAGGGCTGAGCGTGCACGCTGCCACTCCCTGGGCCTGCCCTCCCCCGGGCCCAGGCTCACGGAGCTCAGGTCAGCGGTGCCCCTTGCGGCTCCCCCAGCTTGAGCATCACCCTGGGTAAGTTTTTCAGGCTCTCGACTGAGAGGGGAGGTGGCATGTTAAGGGACAAGAGGGGAAACACTTCACAGACAGTTGACTTTCACTTGTGGGGTGTGGTAGCAGTGGAGAATTTCAGAGATTTCATTGCAGAAAGAATGTCTTCCTCTTGGCCCCTCTTAATTTTTTTGTTTTTATTTGTGAATTTTTAAAATCTTTGGCAGCATAGAACTGATTGTGATCCTTATGCATCTCTGACGTGTTCAGCTTCCTTTTTTCATCCCCCCTCCCCCAACAGCCACTCCCTCCCAGGAGAAATTTCAGCTGAATGTTCCCACGAGGCATCCTCTTCCCGAGGCGCTTGGCTGGCCTGCGGGTGGTGGGCTGGCCATAGCTGTCTCGTCTTTCTGGATCACCCTGTACTTCAGTCCCCCTTCCTGTTCTCCACCAAGGCCGCTTGTCCACAGGAATTTGATGCCAGCAGCTTCCCTGATGGTTCCTGGCCTGGGGGCTGTCACGGTGGGGGGAGCCACCAAGGCGCCATCGAGGATTGGAGCCTGGCTCTCTGGACAGGAGAGCCAGGGAACACACAGTGGGACCGGAACCTTCCAGAATGTCTCCTCAGTCAGGTTTTTTGAGGGTGAGGGGATGCGGAGACGGGAGAAGAAAAGTGCTGAGGGCCGAAGCTGGTGCAGGGTGACAGTGTGTGTCTGGGTAAGGCAAATGAGAGGCAGTGAGGTGATCTCAGAATGGCGTTGAGGCGGTCAGATTGAGGCCGGCTGGCTCACACGAGGGTCCCGGGCTTGGCTTTCTCCTGCCCGTACCACTGGACGTCTGCTAGCTCTGGATAGAGGGAGGAATCCAGGAAGCAGCTATCACTGTAGCTCCTGCAGGGAATCCAAGAAGGAGACGAGACAGTCAGCGGGGGAATGACACTCGCCAGCCTGCATCCAGAAGCACGTGAGTATGCGGGGCCCGATGTGGTCAGTGATCTTCCCTCTTCAGGGGGAGCTAGACCTGACGCAGTGCTGGGTTTACAGAAGGCTCTCCCAGACGGGGAAAAGTCCACGTAAAGGGGACCTAAACCTCGAACATCTCTGCAGGAGGAAGATGGAACTAACACGCAGTGGTCCGCAGGCTCGGCTGGATGTGGGAATCGCCTGAGGACCGTCCCCCAAAACACTCCTGCCCCGCCCCAGAGCTGCTGGTTTACTTGATCTGGGGTGCTTGAGTGTCTGGAGCTTTCAAAGCCCCTCAGCTGACTCCCTGCAGCCGAGGCCCAGCACCCTCAGGCTGGCTTCCTCAGGATGCTTCTGTTCTCAGAACAGTTCCTTGGTTTTTCCTCCATGAGCTTTCAGGCATAACTGGTCACTAGATTTTTCTTCTATCCTGGAAGCACATTCGAAACGTCAGGTTTCCCTGCAGTGAAACTGAGGTGACATTTTGAATGGTGTCTTAAAATAATGCTGTTTACTTTAACACATATTGTTGTGTGAGTATGTTAAAAAAAGTATTGAAAATATACAGGAGAATATATAAAAGACTGTAAAAAAAAAAGCCTTTAAAGTGTGCGTCACTGTGTAAGTTGGGTAGAGGTGCAGCGGTCCCTTGGTATCTGCAGGGGACTGGTTCCAGGACCCCCGTGGGTACCGACATCTGAGGATGCTCTCAAGTCCCTGATGGTTAAATGGTGCAGTACACTTGGCCCTGTGTATCTGCAGCGTCCAGGTCAGCGGATATACAGGGCCAACTGCATGTATATTGGAAAAAAGTCCTCGTATTAGTGGACCTACCCAGCTCAAATGTGCTCTTCAAGGGTCAACTGTTTCTACGTATCAAGAAGCAATCAGAGCACTGTGCTGAAGCCAAAAATCATTACTAGGGATCATTATTAGGAAAAACAGTCCCTTTTCCAGTGATCCCAAGCTAGCTCTTTCAGGGCAAGGTCAAGACCACACTTCATCTCGGTGAATATAAGAATGGGCTGGGATTGGCCCAGGAGTCACCCGGAGGCTGGTTACTCAGCCCAGGGCAGCCCCTGACGCCAGCGTGGCTAACCTTGGCACCCTGTTCAGGAACAGAATACGTCACCTCCCTAACTCCTCATCATCCTGGAGGTGCTCTCCACCAGGGCATCACCCCCTACCCTCACTGGGGGTGGACAAGTGACTCAGCGGGGCCAGTGAGACTCCCTGAACCACAGTCACTGGTCAAAGATGGGCATATGCTGAAGCAAGGCGAAGCAGCGCTCACACTACAGAGATGTCAGCTTCCTCCTGAGAATGTGATCGCCGGGAGCAGGAGGTGGAGGTGGAAAGAGACTGAGCAATTCCCGGCTCCATGTCTGTCCTCAGCCACAAGGCAGGTATGATAATACAAAACCCACTAGTTTATACGAGAACAGTTGGATCCAGATCACGTTTCTGGAAGTTGGAATAAATTAAGGTTACCTGCTCAACTGTAGAGAAGACACAAGATTTTTGATTCGCCTAAGTTCCAAATAACCTTGCTCCTCTTTTTTTTAGCTTCTGATAAAAATTACCTCTTTGAAGTTTGTGTTTCTAAGAGCTAGCTTAGATAAGAGTTCATGGAAAAGACCAGGTGGACGTTCACATCGCAGAGGCACAGGAAAAGAATGGAATTTCTTCCAAGGACTTTCCCCCCTAAACCCAGGTATTTTACAATAGCTGCAAGCCTTCTGAGATGAATAGAAGATGTCTGGGGCTTGATTAAAAAGGACAGGTGGGGTTTGAATTGCTTCTGGAGCTGCATTTCTGTTCTTGTAAAGACTAGATTTGTCAGACAGGTACGGTTGCATGAATAAAGCCAACAAGCTCTATAAACTTGACTCCGTTGAATCTGTTTTAACAGTTTGGTACAGCCATGGGATCCGAAGGAGACTTCTGATTTCAAGCCCCCTGTGTTTGGTTGACCTGCCTGACTTTATTCGGGATTTGGACAAGGCCAGACTGTCCTTCTAGTGAGCACTCTTTTGGCTTCTGAATTAGAATGCACTTGGTTTAGATTTACACATATAGATTTTGCTGAGAGCAAAACTAAAAAATTGGAGGGCACCAGCTGAGCACCTAATGAGAGACGCCGTCAAAGCACAAGGCCCCGGGGTAAGGACAGGGTGGTCACAGACAAGCAAGGTTCACAGTAGGTTGCTGGCCGCTTGCAAGAAAATTCCGTGTAATGAGGGACACCCAGTCACGGTCTGACCTACGGGGCAGAGGCCGTCCACCAGGAAAAGCAAGCAGCCTGTGAAAGGCAAACTCAAACAGAACGCAAGTCCCAGACCTAAGCATACCCCCTTGCAATCGAGGGTTTTCTCCTCTGCTCTAGGGAAGACTGCAAAATGGGACCCCAGTCATCTAACTGCTTCAAGGTGCCCCCCCATCTTAGGAACCCCCAACAGTTTTTCAAAAAAATTGTGATCTCTCTCTGCATGCACATGGACCAGCTTACCCAAGACGAGCTAGAATGATGGTGGTCACTATGAAGAATGTTCCAGGGAGAAAAGATTGTTCATTTAGGAAGTGCACTGGAAAGGAAGGGCTCCCAAATCAAGTGGAATAGGACATCTATTTTAATGGGTATGCGGGAGCCTCTAAAACGTTTCAAAATTCCCAATACCTTCACTGAAAGATTCATTGCAAAAGGCTAATAAAAAAAATTAAAAATACAGGAGATACCTAAAAGACTAAGACGTTAC